AAATCTGTATCTTGTATAGAAAATTCAGCTGTGAAGAGCATTCCACACAGAAATCACTTTGGGAAGAAGTAGAAACCTGATGTTGGTATCCTTCAAGGTGATGCATAAAATCGGTTTCCACTATCTCAGAAGTCCCAGCTAATAAGAAAGTATCCTTTCTTGTTGGATTACTAAAGTAATAGTTACCTATATTATGTATTTTCTTTTAGAGAATACCAAAAAGTTTAAAGAAGAAAATACAGAGTAACCTCTAATCTCTCCACCTTAAGAAATATGTGGTGGTGTGTTTCCTTCCTGTGTTTTTTTCTGTGTATAAATATAAACTATTTACAAAACTGAGGTCCTGCTTTATATCCAGTCACGTACCCTGCTTTTAATCCCACTTACCAGAAGCACTTCTACATTTCATTAAAATATTTTCATGAGGATTGTTTTAAATGGCAACATAACAATTTTAAATGTGTTTTTAGAAAGGAAGGAAAGATGATCATTGTTATTGTTAGAGCCAGAACAGTGCAGCATGGCCCATTAGATATCCTCTCCCTGTGTGCCTGCTAAAAGGAAGGAGACCAGCAACTGCAGGTTCATGGTGGCAGAAAGGCAGCTGACCCTTCCTTCAGGGCTGCAGCACCAGGGAGCAGTCTGAAGATATTTTCTCAAGAATCTGTCCTCCTCCTAAACGGAGCTCTGCATGGAGGAAGACGCTTGGGGTTTAGAAGGAACGTGGACTAGCCAAGAAGTACCTGGAGAATTGGGCTGTGTTGCTAAGGGCATCTCCACTCCAAACAAGAGGCTGTTGTGAGGCTTCCGGAGGAAAACCTCAGCTCAGTGGACTCTTAAACTCTGCACGGAAGCCTCCAGAAGTATAGCAAGGGGGCAGCAATAATATGTAAAGAGATGTTAGTTTAAAAACCCATTTGGATGACTAGAGGGGACCACATGAAGGGTGTACTGACAATTTGCAAAGTGTCCCAGGTTGGGGTCTGTTCTGGCTTGGATTTCCTTTTGGTTTGCAGGGACCTGGCCAGTTGTGCAGGGTCCCTGGATGTGATTTTGCGTGTCTTATTTTCTAAAAAATTCAAGGAAAAATATAGGGAGCATTCTGTTCCTTCAGAATTTCAAATGATTCTGATACAATGATTAGAAAAGATATTCTGACCTGCCTGGGGAGACGTAGGAATCTAATCCTCACTGAAACTGTAAAGAAAGCATGTATGCCCGTTGATTGACTCATGTTGATCAACAAGACACAGGACTCCCCTGGGGCCTTGGAATGTTCTGTGCAGAACTCCTTGAAGGACAGGACCTTTTGCTGTACATCTGTACTTGTGGGGCTGTGGTGGCCCCAGCTGGTATTCTGACCTGCCTGGAGAGACGTAGGAATCTAATCCTCACTGAAACTGTAAAGAAAGCATGTATACCCGTTGATTGACTCATGTTGATCAACAAGACACAGGACTCCCCTGGGGCCTTGGAATGTTCTGTGCAGAACTTCTTGAAGGACAGGACCTTTTGCTGTACATCTGTACTTGTGGGGCTGTGGTGGCCCCAGCTGGGTTGTGATCAAAGGAGTACAACACATAATGACTTGGTATTTTCAAATTATGTTCGAGACTCAAATGCCAGCAGTGGAGAGGGTGCCAACAGACCATGGCATTGGGCCTGAAGGCTAGGAGCATGTGCCTCTACCCCTGACATGCCTTGTAACTTTGGAGAAGCCCCTACCACTTCATTTACCTCCATTTTCCCATTTATTTAGAGCTATATTTGGGAGATTTTTGTTTGTTTATTTTACTAAAGGGGCAGCTAATACCCACTGATGCCAATTGAAGACCCAGGACAGGGGCATGACAAGTTCGACAAGGACATCACACTGGGAAAAGGCCTAGAATGGTGCTGGTCTGAAACCAGCTTTATCAGTGCTCATGGACATGTCTTGAAGCCATGGGATGAGGGCCAGCTCCATACTTTGTGGGGCCCAGTGCAAAATGAAAACATGAGACTCCTTGTTCAAAAAGCAGGCAGGAAGTGTCATTAAAGGTCCTAAAAGATAAAGCTATTTCCTTTATTTCATGTTCT